AAGTTGGAGACGAGATTGCTGTGGAGAAGGAGACGGTGTGGTCCATCACATTGAAAGAGAAGATGTCTGGCCGGACATCGGTCAGTTGGACGGCCAACACATCGCCTGCGCTATTCTTGTGAAGAGAAAAGCTCTGGCATAACAAAGATCCGTCCAGCTTCAGGGCAGAAACAAGGCAGGTGTTCCAAGATGTTGCAAAAAAGTCAACGCGAAGAACATGCAGCATACAGTTCAGGAGGCCTGGTCTGTGTACTGTTTGAGTCATGGAGGAGCAACCACTGATGTGATTGCGGAATGGTTTGTGGATGATTTCAGATGCTGCACGAACGACTGTGGAAACAGTACACGAGGTCAGGAAAGTCAAACCTTGTTTAACCTTGTACAGTTGGTACGTTCAAAGTTTCAGTAAATTGACCCATCCATGTAGGCAACTCTTCCAATTCCATGGCTGGAAGGCTTTGAATCTTTGTGTTATGTTGATTATCCAAGAATCCGCTGAACGAACACCCAAGAACCCCACCGGACCGGTAGTGGGCACTCCTTAACAGCAGCCAGAGAGGTTCAAGGGGAACATCTGTGTATATATATATATATATCAAACACCCTACAGTCCTACACACCATGACTGAATGTTCGTGGTCCTTGTTCATACTCATCCTTTATAATAGGAACATCAGTCTATAGTGGTTTGTGCCTTAAAGTTTGTCTAGCTGACTCCTTGTCCACCAAATCATGGTCACACTCCGTGTATATGGAATACAGTATGTGCCTTCATTGGGGTGCTTGGCGCTTGCAGTTCTGATCGATCACCCAGCAGATCCAGACTGCGTGCCCCTACCACCCGCTCGCACCCTCCGACGATCGCCTGTCTCGCAGCCCTCGCCAGGAGAAGACGCAACGGTTGAAGGCGGAACGAAGCCGCAAGAAAGGCGGGCCCCGACCAACGGTTTGAGCTTCATTCTTCCTTGGTTCATGCTTTGGTGGAGAACAGGTTCTCGGATAAAGGCCAGTGACTAGTTTTCAGACAATCTCAACATATCTCAACTATAGGTTGTTGTAGGTTTTTTGGTACTTATTTCATGTTCATGTTGTGTTCATCTCCATTTTACCCTTTAGCATCTGGAGATCTCGCCGATCGACGTATCTCGAGACGTGTGGCACACTCTGTGGACGACGGAACGGAAGTGTGGCACTGTGTGGATGTGTGGAGAAGCAAAAAGCATCAAAAAGCCCCGGCATTTTCCTGGCCCACCATGGATTTAATAGCCTGAATCCGGATCCGGTTTTTTTACACTCAAAAACCAGGTCAGCCATTTTGAAATCGGTCGAACGGAAGGCTAGGGTATAGCTTCCTTTTGAGAGAGTTTCATATGGGAAGCGACAGTGGTGGTGTACGTGTCTTGTGGGGGCGACTTAACCTGGTCCATTAAGGGTAGTATGATGTAGTATGTGATTCTTGTCACAAGTCCTGCTGACTTGTTACCCAAGCAACTGAAAGGGTGACAGGAAGGGTAGCTGACCTTGGATGTGTATTAATGAACACTGAACGAAACGCGAAAGAGGAACTATGTGAGCAACCTGATTTATTTACGGAAAGCTATTTAGTAAAGGACCCGACATTGGGATTGCAGAATTGGCGTGTTACTTGGAAAACGATAATACACCCATCAAAAAACGATAAGATATTGATAGCATCATGAAAAGCTTAGTTTGCATAGCTGCAGTACAGCGTTCTAACCATGAAGACCATCAGGGAACCTCGTTTCTGCTTAGTGTAGCCTTTCCCAAAGCCGTTTTTGACTTCGGACTTTGGCGACAGGTTTGCCCGAAATGTAGCTGTAGTCAAACGATAACCTAAACGATAACCAAACGATAACGTACATGTAGACGAACCTGTGCTACGAAACCAGTGCCCCACTTGTATCTGAAACTTATCTTCCAAACAGGCTCAAGACATGGCTCTACTACTACTACTACTACTACTGCTACTACTACTGCTACTACCACTACTACCACTACAACAACTACTACTACTACTACTACGACGACGACTACTACTGCTTCTACTTCTACTACTACTACTACTACTACTACTACTACTTCTACGTCTACTTCTACTTCTACTACTACGACTACTACTACTGCCACTACTATACTACTACTGCTACTACTACTACTACTACCACCACCACCACCACCACAACCACCAGCCAACCGGGATTGGCGTCCAACACAGGAAGATGTGGACAGGTGTCTGGGGTCAACAAGAACAAACCACTGTATAGCATCCAGTGGGCAGATCAAAGGCTGGAACACGTCTACAATTATGCATGTCCGGAGAAGAGTGAGGGAGAGTTAACGGGCGAGCCGTTGTTTGAGTGGATAGAGGCGAACTCGAGAGACTGGCGTCGGATGCCTCATGGCACGGCTGCAGTCTTCCCCATTACATCCAGCAAAGAAGGTTTGTACCAGGATGGCAGTGCAGTGGATGATTCTGAAATTACACTCTATCATGCGTCGCGGCCGGCTCTTTTGAAGCAAATTCTGCAACAGGGCTTAGCGCCTTCCATTCACAGTCATGGGATTTGTGGCTTGTGGGTGTTTGCCCTTGCCCCTTGGGCTGCTTATTGCTGGGGGTCCTGCATTTTGGAAAACGTTGAAGGCATGATCTTGGGCATCACGATTGCCCGCAAAATGCTGAGAGAGAGATCTGCTCAATGTCCGGCAGATTCAAACGTGCAGACTGGCCTTGTCACCAACAGAAACATCCGTGGGACAGGAGCTGGGGGCTATCTGAGGTTTGTGGTGGCAGGGCAGTATTTAAATTGCGCCTTGCCAATCAGGCTGACCACTGTGGCCTTTCTTCGGGATCCCAACGCCTTCCATTTCTCCCAGGGCCTCTCCTACGGAGTACGACTTTCTGCGCTGTGGGTACTTGGGCAGTCCGTGTGCCAAGATGCAAGCCAGGTGCGAGCTTTGGAACCAGGGCCTCGCCCAGAAGGATCTATTGCGTGAAGTTCGTAGGTTGGTACAGAAGAAGGAGGAAGATGAACGTGAATACTTGAAAACGCCTCTTGGAAGCTATAAGCATTTGGGCTTGCTCCATTAGCCTCGTGCGCACGGAGCAAGCAGAAGTTGGGTTTTGGGGTCCAGGATCAGGCTTCAGAAAGACGGGTATCCTATTGAAGTTTAGGCCCATGTCTGCTTGCTCTATTAGCCCCCGTGCGCACGGAGCCAGCAGAAGTTGGGGTTTGGGCTTTGGGGTCTAGGATCAGGCTTCAGAAAGATGTTGAAATTTAGGCCCATGTCTGCTTGCTCTATTAGCCCCGTGCACACGGAGCAAGCAGCCACAACCACAACCACGACGACGACGACTACTACTGCTTACTACTGCTCCTCCTCCTCCTGCTGCTGCTGCCGCCACTGCGACTGCCACTGCCACTGCTACTGCGCCTAATGCCACTACCACTACTGCTGCTACTACTAGTACTACTAGTACCACTTCTACTGCTACTACCACTACTACTGCCACTAGTACCACTGGTGCTACTAGTAAGTCCTACTACTGCTACCACCACTACCACTACTACTACTACTACTACCACTACCACTACCACTACCACTACCACTACCACTTACTACTTCTACTACTACTACTACTATTATTACTACTACTACGACTACGACTACTACTACTACTACTACTACTATATACTACTACTACTACTACTACTATTACTACTACTACTACCACCACCACCACCACTATACTATGACTACGACGACGACTACTACTACTACCACGGCTACTATTGTTATTGCTAGTGCTACTGCTACTGCTATTGCTACTACTGCTCCTACCAAGAGGCGACAAGTCAAAAAAATGCCAGTGCTGTGTGTAGCGATGCCACCATTGAAGGCGATACCCATGACCTTACCACACAGAAGGAGTTTTGACCGTCGCACGCCTGCTTCCATGTCCAAAAAGTCTGCCGCATTGTGAAAACAACCTTTAATATAAGTAAGGTTCAAAACGTGGAAAACGATAATACACTCACCAAATTGAAATGTGCAAGGCCCACATAACAAATAAACAGCGTCCCTCATGTCCAGCCCTCTCCACATAATACAACATCTTCACACCTTTTGTTCATTTGATGTGGCAGAGCAAGAAAGCGTCTCCACCAAGCAATTGGTAGATGCCTGTGTTTCTCGCCCCGAAGCGACAAGAGCGACACGTTTGCCGAGTCAAGTCTCGGTCGAGCCACGCCACGCCTAGTCACTCCCAATGAGGACAACCACAGATGAATCACATGCTTTGTTGTGTGCGTCGCGCGTCTTTGTTAATGCACAGTTGAAACACTGGGGCGTCAGACATCCATGAATAGTTGTCTACAATGGATGGGTCATGAGATTCAATGCAAGAACTCATCATGGATAGTTTTCTCAGCCCGCCGTCTCTCTGTTTTTCACGCGGGGTGTCTCTTTGACCCACCAAGTCCTGGTGTATGTCGACTCCGACCTGGAAAAGGAAAGTCGTTTTCCTTTCATAGTGTTCCTTAACCAGACCATGCCATCCACGGTTCCCCATGTGATGTGTTCCTCAGAGTCGAGTGTAACTCCTCCATATCCCGTTTGGCCTCCACGTACCTTCGTTTCGGTTCGGTGAGACTGGGGGCCCGGGTGCCAGGGGAGTCCATACATTCGTTTCGGAGCTACGACGAAGTTGGTGGTCTGGAAAGAGGTCCCAAAGACTTCTAGAAGATCAGAACCCACTGGTTGATCACTGGTACGACACTGGTTGATCAGAATCCATTGAGTTGATCACCACGACTGGAGGTCTAGGAGCTACGACTGGATGTCTAGCTGGCCGACACACGGGGTTCCCCGCCCCGCACGGCCCCGCGGAACATTCCGGGGCGCCGGAACGGAACGGCCTATAGGTGACAAGGACGGGGAGGGGAGCGGGGAGCGGTCGGTGTCGATGTCCAAAGGACGAAGCAAATCAGGTGTTGTACTCTAAGAGGGAGAGCTCTAGAGGTCTATGAGTTGTGAGAGGGTGGTGGTTCAATGGTTTCCATGAGTTGAGCCTGCAAATTGAATGGGTTTGAGTACATTCAAGAGCTTTATCGGGAACCTAGAGCGCTTTCCGTGGCCACTCTGTACGGCTCCCAAGTAGCTTTGTTTAGAAGCTTGTTTCTAGGACTAATACATCCTGGGAAAGGAAGTTCTCACCTTCCAGTCTCTACGTAGGAGCAAGACTGGACCAACCTGACATGGAGAAATACTGACAAATATGTAGGATCCAGGAAGTATGTTCTTTTGGAGTATCCAGCGATAGATGGAGAGCTCAAACAAATATGATTCATAATGACCATTGATAGGGCAACAAGAGATGGTGTGTTCTTAGTTGCTGGACTAACTAGGACGCGAATTGCCGCCTAGTTGGAGCTCGTGACCAGATGATTTGCAGGGTTTGCTTCATCCCAGGTGCCAAGGACTCTTCCATCCACGGTGCTGTGTGGCCTGTAGGTTTGGGCAATCCAACATTGGAATCCACAAACAGATTGAGGCTTTAGGTGCTGCAAGACATTGATCTTGGCAGACCTGGGCAAGACTCTTCCAGCAATCAATCTATACCCAGAGTAACTAGCTCAGAACCAGACTCTGGGCCGCAAGATATTCAGACGCTTCGGTTCGGAGTGCATCTCAGACTGCTGGGCTCAGATGATTTGTGTAGATGAATGAATGATGACGGACATGGCCAACGCCCGGGATCGGGTTCCTCTTCCAGCGGAACGCAGTGGGTGACCCCGAGGCAAACAAAGGACGTCCGGACGTCGGGCGTCAGCGATTCGCCCGGTCGTTCGTTGAAAGACTGCGACCGGGAAAGACTGGGACTGGAGAATAGAATGGGACTGGGAATTCCCGATTGAGCCACATACTTTGTCAGGTGATGGGAGAGATGTACCTTTACAGCATGGAAGGTTCAGTCGTACCTTCGTACTGTCCACCTGGGCACCCAAACTACTGGGAGCCGGGAGCCCTGAAAGAAAAGGTGCCTTTTGAGAACAGCAAACAGGCTAGATGTTCTTCATATTAGTGTGTATGACAAGAGGGACCCCAGGGAACCCTTTGGGCGGTTTTTGAATGTTTTTGATCTATTTATTCCAGAACCTTCCAGGGCTTCGTTCATAGGGGTCGGTCTCCCTGTTTGAGCTAATTACACGCCCATGTTCATGGCATATCCCCATGAGTTAGGGTTCTGGTCAAGAGCCGTGCGAGCCGTTGAAGAGCGGCCCCAACCCCCGAGAACTAGCTGGTGTGCACTCTTTTTGGTGCGTAGTTCAACATAGAACTGGCAGAGATCACTGCTGTTCGAAGGCCCCTTGAAGTGAAACAAGAGGTTTGTCTCCAATGGGGCCGCAGAACACTGAGCAGACCAACTTCAGGAAGTGCCTCCACATACCCCTGGGATCCAGTCGTACTTTCTCAGGTTTGGTACGACTCGACTCTCCTAGCACCTACACAACAGTGTCTCTTACTCGATCCCTAGGGATAGTATAGCCTGCCTGGCAAGTCTTTCAGAGCCACCCCACTCTGAGACTTGATGGATTAGCTGAGACTTGATGTTTTGGGACGCAGTGTCATGTTAGGTTTTGGGACTTAACAGACGCCGAACATCGCTGAGCATATTATAGATTAACATTTGATGTTAGTCCCTGAGTCCCTGGACACAAATAAAATACCCTCAACTGTTGTATTTGTTTGCAATGTCTCAAAACCAATGCTTGTTTTTCTTTGGCTCTTTCACAAGCTACGTTCTTTCGTTGTGTTGTGTATGAACACTGCCCAGGTGAGGAAAGTCCATGGTGCCGCCAGCTGGGTTGATTCGAGTCCGGAAAAGACTTCGAGCTCAGATGGTCCACACCAGGGGCCCCAGCCTACTGCTGAGATGGAAGAGCTGGCCGCTGAGCTGAAGAAGCGCGAGTTTCTCATGGTGCGAGTTCTTCGCTCGCCATGTTCTGCGTGGTTTTGGGGTTTTCGCGAGAGGAAAAACCATGGGTGTGAAGATCAATGGATTGGTTTATGAAAACATCCGCAGGAAAGCATGGTGTTGACTCCAAAACGATGAACGATCCTGTATATATTCCCTCAAAGCAATTCTCCCCAGGGCTCCTGTCCCATCTCCTCAGGTTCGGCGGTTAGACCCCCCTGGCACCCACCCCAACCATTTTCTCAGGAGGTGGGCCAGGAGCCCAAACGGGTCTGTGAGAAGAGCCCAATCACATGAAGAATCCGATTCCGAGCTGGAGGGTACCAGGACCAGAAGAAGTGAATGATAGGGGGCAGGATCCCCATTTTTGCAGGCTGCCTGGCGCCGAAAAAAGATGAGGTGAATTCATGAATATGGTAGAATGGAAAACCAGTCAATATCCTAACTATCAGTTAGATGCTACTATGAGTTACTTGCTAATATTGGCATTGAGCATTGCCTCATACATAGTATAAACATGTATATATACTGTACGTAACAAAAAATACTTATATTACTATTGTTGAATCCGCCCTGAAATAAACTAACTCATGTCAACTGATTGATCGTCACTTAGTTTGGTTCGCAAACATGAACATCCAGCAAACCTCTTCAGAATGGTAATGTATCCATTCAAAGTCCATTCCAATCCATCCATCGACTGACTCCCGCGCCGGAAGACGCGCCCCGCCCAGGCCACGGAACACAAAGACCATGACAAAGGAACATGCGAGCCCTGTGTCTTTTTCACTTCCAGTTTCGGTTGCCGAATGTCAGACCGATGCAAATATTGCCACTTACCGCATCCGAAGAAGAACCTGCCTGGGAACCGCCGCCCTCAACGGCGAGAGCGGACGCAGACCAAGGTGCGGGGCCACAGAGCGGGAAATGGCGGGACTGGGGGTGTCCAGGGAACCAGGGATTTCATGCTACGTGACGTACGTCATGTAAGCTCTTGATTCTACGTATCAAGCTCCTCTATATAAATTAACCTGGAGCCTTTTTGTGACCCCTGTTTTGGAGGATCAACTGTCCAAAATATGGTCTTTGCCTATCAAAACAGAAGTCAGTCAGGCTTTGGGTATAAACATGCATCAAGCTTCTGAAGATATTCTACGATCCATGTTTGGGGTGTATTGTGAATCAACATGCATGCTACGTGACGTAATGTTACGTACTGTAGTGAATGATTTTTGGTGTCTTTGCAACTCGCCAAAGTGGGGAGATCAACCAAATTTGAACACTCATACACTCCCTAGAACACTGCTATTACAGTATCCCTGCCAATATAAAATATTGATTGCAGCACTTTTTGTGTGCAAGATGTTGAAAGGTGATGAAAGATGTTGAAAGATGAGTTTCGAGACTGCTTCATGAGGATCATCACAACATCCAATCATAGCCTGGAGCTTGGGATGGACAAAGGGAGCTGGGGCGCCTTGCGGCGATCACCAATTCTTAAGCAACGCCTGTGTGAGCCACGAATCACAACCAGTGGAGGGACAATAGGGATGCTGGTGGATACAACAAGCAGGAATCCCACTACCTTCAAACTTCTAGATAGTTGAATCACCCGAGGATGTTTGTTCCAAAGATAGGATAGATAGGACCAGATTCAGTTTGAGTCGCCCCCCCCTGGTGGGTTTCAGAATGGAAGACCAGGTCACCCGGGAAACGCCTTCCCCAACGACCACGCCGGACCACGCGGTCCCGAGGTCCCGCCGTCCGGGTCGCCACCGGCCCCATCCCGCACCGAGGAGCGCATTCTGGAGATGTTTCAATCCTTCCAAGATGAACTCCAACGTGAGGTCAATGGCAACCACTTTGTGCGTAAAGAAGTCATGCGTTTCCTGTCTCTTGGATAGCATGATCGAATTAACATTTTGTATTATGTAGGTGCTATTTTGTTGTTTCCTTTTGTGTGACTAGTAGGCCGGCGTTGCCAGAGAACAGCATTTTAGGTTATTTAGGCCAAGCGGCAAGCGATACAGTATCGAAGCAATGCATGTTGTTGGTTGGGGAAGCTTGGAATCTCCTGAACCTTACAAGTGGCTCGCAAACTACAAGATCCCATAGGTCCAATTACGACTACACTCCGACTTACTAATGTTGAAGTGGAGGATTCCTGTTCGTTAAGGAACGCAGTCACGCAGTCTTCCAATGGGCCATTTTCCACTTCCATATGAGGTGTTCGTCGGAGTGTAGTTTGGTTCCAGAAATTACTCGATCAGTTCCTTGCTTCTCTTTTGTAGTCACTAAGATTCACTGGAGTAGTTCACACATAGAATTGCATAGAATACAGAGAGGAAGCTGGGAGGATGCAATGGATTTGCACATTGAATGACACTGAAGAACGGCCTTTTGAACAGGGAAATTACATTTCGTTTCACTGGCATAGAAATTGATTTGCAAGGTTCACATTCCAATTGGTTTGCATGTGTTTTTCGATCAAATACTGTATTTCAAGTTGAGGTTTAATAGCAGGTCTACACTTTCACCAGTTCCGCTTGAACATGTGAATCCCCTCCAAAGTCAGTCGTGGCAGCACCTGTGCACCGGTCTTTGATTAGTGGCGGGAAGCAATTGGGATGCAGGGGGTTGCCTCACAAAATCAGATATTTGGTGTATGCTAGTTTAAGTCCATCTCCATCATCATTCCCGACCTAATTCTCCACTTTATTTTGCGCAAGAATCCATGCTGTTCTTATCAATAGTATCCCTGAGATATAAGTTCCTCCATCCCCTAGGCCTGTTTGATAGGAACCAGTTGCTTGCATGCTGTATTCAATAAAACTAAATCAGCTGGTTCGCAACTTGCATGCTCCTCCAGGTCCTCCACCGGCCTCACACCAGGCACTCCCCGCACTCCGGTGCCGCAGGAATGGGGATTGGGATGCAAGTGGGAATGCGGATCGTGTCGATGAGCCCTAGCTGCGTGCGGTGAACACTATGAATACCTAATACCATGCCGGAGGACTCTGCCCCTCGGCCGAACAGAAAGACATCCGGTCTCGCAGCATCGGCGTCGCTTGCAGCGCGTGGCGCGCGTGTTTGTTCTCCAGCGCAGGGAGCGTCTCGGGAGAAGTTGGTCGCGTTGGGAGTGGACTCTTCAGTGTGCTAAGTGTGTGATGTCCCTCCCCTTCCAGTCGCACCTCCTCAGAAGGTATGACTGGACCCTCCTGGCACCCACCCCAAATACCTTCTCAGAAGGTACGACTGGAGGTCTAGGGTGCTTAATTTGGAAGGAGTTGTCCACCTGTTCATCATGTGCATTCCCACTGAAGAAAAAGATGGCCCTGCCCCTGTGCTTGCATCTTACTATTTGGCAATCTTTCCATCGGGTGCAACTTCCTGTGGCGTTTCGTTGAAAGCAATTTCATTCCGATTCATTCAACAGTTCCTTTTTTTTCAGAACCCTAGTTCGAGTCTCCCAGTTTCCGAACATTGTTTGGGGTTAAACCATACCCTACAGGTCAGTTCGACCTCATTTGGGAGTTGGTCATACCAGAACCCTACTCAGTGAGCTTTTCAGGATCAGGAGACTGGACCTGGGTCTGGGTCAGGACGTATCCCTAGGGCTCCTGGCCCACCTCCGAGGTGGGTGCCAGGGGTCTAACCACCTGAGGAGATGAGACAGGAGCCCGAAGGGGTATGTAGGCAGCCCCGGTCAACCGGTCAACCGAACTGGCGACCGGATCGCGGGGGCGAGCGGATCACGCGGGCGAGCCACACAGCTTTGGGAGACCAGGTGCCCTAGAGAAAAGCCATCAAAAACGGTGGTTTCTCCTAGAAGAAACACGTGGGTTTGTTTGTATGCGAACACCTTGATTGTTCGAGTGAGTCAATTGTGTCATTGGAGAACATTCTCTCGTTTTTGCGCGATCCGAGGTTCAAATTCGGAGTGCAGGAAGACCGGATAACAAACTTTAACACTGAGACAAGCCGCTGCCTTTGATGTCTCTTTTGTGAGCCTGTGAGCTTTGGGGCAAGCTCCCCTAACTCTGTACCAAAGTCGTCGCCAAGAGGGATGTAGCAAGTCTTATATAATTACTTGTCGACATGAAGAGACATCATGCAGTTTCAAGAAACATGCTTGCTGCACTATATTGCTGTTTCGGACTGACTTAAAATCATATATATATAATATATAGAGATTTTCCTCGCCGTTTTCCAATGATTTTCCAATCTCGGAGGTTTGCTTGTTTGTTGCGGTCTCATCACGAGCGGGTCGTTACAGCATCGATGCAGCATCGGTTGTTTCGTGGCCCGGGAGCTTTTCTCAGCTACCGCACAGCAAGCAGCCAGGCAAGCACGGAAAATGGCCGCTTCTTCCCAGGGGCAGACGTGCAGCTGGGATCTACCTGACCAAAACAAAACTTTGCACTTTCAATCTATTATTCTGTGTACCCGGTACCCTTCTATTTTCTTTGGCAGTTGAACTGGTAAGTCTTGGGTCGGGTAGGGGAGGTTTTTTTGAGTTCCGGATGCCTGTTCTGTGTTTTGCTGCCCATGTCAGCAACGTCAACTGCATGGGCATATCCACAAGATTGTCAACAGCACCTGCAAACTACAGCTTTCTACTGCAAACGTTATACCGGTGTTGTTCTGAATATGCAATACCGAGTTTTCCTCTGCAAGACTAGGAATGAAACGGGTTTCTGACTATTTAGTTTGGGGGGTTGGCTGTGAACTCTTGCCCTACGTATCCTCCCTAGGCCTCCAGTCGTATCGTTTCGGTTCGTTTCGGTGGGACTGGGGGCCGGGTGCGGACTGGAGGGTCCTCGTTCCGAACCTGAGGAGGTACGACGAAGTCGGTGGGGGATTTGGCTAGCCCTAGGGCTCCAGTCGTACCTTCGTTTTGAAGGTGTTTGGGGTGGATTTAAAGGGTCCAAATGCCTTCTGAGGAGGTACTTGGAGCGCTATAGGGTAGGGTTTCACTTGGCGGTCTGTGGCTTCGTTCACACGGACCTTCACGCGGACTCGGAACACACCGGAGCGGGCTCGAGGAGGAGAAGATCGAGGCGTGAAGTTCTGAGACATACCGAGACGGTCGACCGGGTATGTGGGTGTGTCGTGGTAATGGTTTGGAATGCATGGGTTTGTGTACACCATGTCTCCAGAATCCTAACCCTAGTTCGTCAAGTTACTAATAGCATATTTTGCCGCAAGTGCGGGGATGCAGGGTGTGTGCGATGAGCCTGGGACTATCCCTGAGAAAGAATGGAGCTTTCCACACCTTGCTTCCTATTCCACACAAAAGCATACAACATGCAACATCATCACTATCACTAGGGTATGAAATCTTGTGGTGCAGGAGTCTAATGGGGTAGCAAAGATAGCCGTCATTCGAATTATTTTGATCGGAGCTCAAACCATGTGGGTTCCAATGAATCTCAAAGACGTCTTGAAAAGGGACCATCTCATTCGAGCATGCATGATCACTGTGGACCTGTGGTCTACACTCTCTAAAACCTCTATCCCAGAAGGTCTATAACTCTCTGTAAATCGCAGTGGATAGCATCCGCAGGTGGCTTTCCACTTCATACCAAGAATCCAAGGAGAAAAACAACAAAAAAAACAACAACAACGTGTCCTTATGTGTCCTTCATAGTTCACCAGAATCCAAGGAGTGTAAGAGTCTGCCAAAGCGTGCCTCGGCCTTTCATCCTTAGGGATCTTAGGGCTCATGGGTTATGCGATCCACTGGATGGGATCCCATGCGTCAAACCGACCATGCCACAAGTCCACGAGGGTTTCGATTCGGGGCTACACCGCTGGGAAACCTCAAGGATCAGCTTGTCACAGTCGCAGATCCAGTCGACTTCGCTCACCCAGTTCTTCTTTGGAACAAAAACAGCTTCCAAGAATCCATTGGACGAAGAAGAGCTAAGCGGACCCAACAATCCTCCAGACCGGTCAATCCTCCAGTCCTGTGGACTCCGGCATCGAAGGCCCCAAAAGCTTGGTTTGGATATGTTTGTTTGGAAATTGTACTGTAAGGCTCTTTCTTTGGGAATTATACATAAATACCCGCAACATGATTCCCATGTTTATATATATAGGCTCATCTAGCTTGAACCGGGTGTCTTCCAAATAGCAAGTGGGTGTTTGATTTGGAATAGAACCTTGTTGTCAAGTTTCTTGCTGGCTCCGTTAAAAGCATGTAACACAGCCATGTAGTTTATTTGGTCCTGCTTCGGAGCAAAGAGCTCTAAGAATGAGGCAACATCCACATGCACCTGATACACGCAAGACTGACCTATATATACAGTCATGGAACTTCAAGAGTTTAGATTTCTTCGTAGTGGGCAGCCATGCCAGCGTGGAGATATGATGATGATGGAGACGTTACGTGTGATCGAAGAGTCCGCCGAGACCATCTCCTTCCTCACAACCAGGAACATAATCCACCGCTTCTGGCGCCACAGCCAAGCACCACTATTTCAAAAGTTTTGCGCCACATTTTGATAGAGCTTTCGCTTCAAGATGTTTAAAGCACTTGGATGGAGAACGTGGACCTGTCGGAGCTGCAAAAAGAAAGGCTTGACTTTGACCGGGACGTTGCAACTTCAATCGGTCCAACTTGTACTTCACACTATTTGCCAGATCTTTCTCGACCCTCTGCGGAGTCATGTGTTGATGTAGGTCTGTGCGGCCCCGAGGGTTGCCTGAGCCAGCTGGAAGCACCAACCACTGCGCTTATATGCTGATTGCTCAATATGCCCAGCTTGGACGTGTGAAACTTTCTCAGTTTGACATATACCTTGTATTGGTGCTCAGGAGCGGAGGCTCAACGATCTTGGATTGGAAGATTATAATTGGAGCAGTCGGATGCAAACACCTGAAGCTTGTAGGTGCAATGTGCGCCCGAAGCTTCAGTGCCTTGCGCCCGGCCAAGCTCGATCAATGGGGCCTTGGAGACGGAAAACCCGTCACAATTTTGCCAGCCAAATTGATTTGGCCGGGAAAACGTCACGTTTCAGACTGGGGCCCCAGCCCCAAAATGTGATGGGTTTTTTGAAAAACCCGTCGCAACTAAATAAGGAAAACGAAAGCCCGTCAAACTTTCCAGCTCATCCCCAACTTCAAAAAGTGATGTGTTTTCCAAAACCTATGGAATTGTGATGGGTTTTTTAAAAAAACCAATCGCTTTTCTGGGGCCAGCCGAACTTCCAGATTGTGATGGGTTTTCTGCGCAAAACCACTCAGCCAAATGGATTTGGCCACCAAAAATGTGATGGGTTTTTTTAAAAAAACCCGTCGCAATTTGACCAGCCAAATCCATTTGGCCGGGAAAACCCGTCACAATTTGACCAGCCAAATCCATTTGGCCAGGAAAACCCATCAAAATATAGCCAGCCAAATCTTTTTGGCCAGGAAAACTTCGAACACTTGGTATACCTAGGGTCCAACCGCTTTGCACTTGGAGTAATGAGGTGTTGCAAAACCTGTTTGGCATAAAGGACTTGTCACGGTTTTACTGTTAAATTGTGTTGGTCCAGTAAGGACACCTGAGTTTCCAACAAAGACCAAAGCAGAAGGGCCGGGGCTTTGAGCTGGGTGCGCTTAACCTTGGTAGGCTATTTGACTGCCAGCTAGCTGGCAGCCGGTGTGCCAGTTTACTGGCAGCCACAACCTGATTGAGTTTGTGGCGTGTGCTTCTTGAAGCTTTAAGCTTCTGGAGGGGCTTTAGGACGAGGTGAGAGTTGTTCGACGCGTCGAGTAAAACGGTCGCGTCCGTTGAAGGTTGCCTTGAAGCTTCGTGATTCTTAGAGCCGCGGCTTGTTGAGGCGATGTGGTAGCGGGGGGACAATGTCGCGTCACATGGACGATCAAAGTGAAAAATAGCATAAGCGAAGATTCAACCTTTTGACCTGCTGGCTGGGTTGCAATGTGCGCATGGAGCGTGGTAATTGACCTTGGTGCTATTTGCTATCATTATGGTTTTGAATGGGATTGCAAGTGCTGATTGTTTGCAAATTGCAACAAATTCTGCGAGTCCGTGCAAAAAGCTGCCAGCTTGTGCTTTGGAGCTTACCGGACGGGTAGAAATTTGGACACCCACTTGCTATTTGGAGGACACCCGGCTCAGGCTAGATGAACCTATATATAATATCCCCTCGAAACAGCTCGATTGCCCTACCCATCCAGGCAGAGTGTTTGGGTGAGTTTGTTCCGGCGAATGACGTGCTCGGCTCAAGGATTGTCACGGACATGGCATGGTGCTGGGATTCCACACGAGTTCTTTCAGACTACTCTCCCGCAAACTGACATGGACCCTCAGAAATGACTGGTGGAAGCCGATTTTCCTCTACAACCGGTTTTTAGGGTGACAAGACGTCGCAGGGGAGTGACTTAGATGGAATCCTATGTTGCGCGTATGGATCGGTTTGGAATACTTCTATATCAGGAACCATGGGCGCGTTAGGTGCTGTGGTAGTCGACAATAGTTTGTTACATCTACCTCTCCTACTAAGTGAGCTCACCGCTGTTTAAAGGCATTGACTCAACCAAAGAAACCTTCCTGAGTGTAAGATCAACCCAAAGTTCCAGGTATTCCTCCTCCCTTGACCTTGACCATTTTGTTTTTCTCCACATGTCCTTTCAAAGCAGTACAGCAACACATCTAGGCTGCCCGTGCCATTGGGGAAACCCGCTTTCAAAGCAGTACAGCAACACATCTAGGCTGCCCGTGCCGTTGGGGAAGCCCGCAGCCGCTGG